AAAATATTCACCAAAATTAGAGAATTGAAGATATCATCACGAAATGAACAAATCTGAGAGAGGTCCACATGTAGTACCTATATATGTAGTATCAAAGCAATTGGACTTGCGGTTTTTAACAAGAAGTCGAAAATATCAGTTTTTACCAAAAATGACAAAAATATTCACCAAAATTAAAGAATTCAAGATATCATTACAAAATTGACAAATCTGAGAGAGGTCCACATGTAGTACCTATATATGTAGTATCAAAGCAATTGGACTTGCGGTTTTTAACAAGAAGTCGAAAATATCAGTTTTTACCAAAAATGACAAAAATATTCACCAAAATTAAAGAATTAAAGATATCATTACAAAATTGACAAATCTGAGAGAGGTCCACATGTAGTACCTACAGATGTAATATCAAAGCAATTGCACTTGCGGTTTTTAACAAGAAGTCGAAAATATCAGTTTTTACCAAAAATGACAAAAATATTCACCAAAATTAGAGAATTGAAGATATCATGAAATGAACAAATCTAAGAGAGGTCTACCCAAGGTACATATACACCAAGTATCAAAGCATTCAGGCTTGTAGTTTTCAAGAAGAAGTTGAAAAAGTAAAACATTGACACGGACGACGACGACGGACAATCACTCATATGATAAGCTCCGCTCAACAAAGTCGACAGCGGAGCTAAAAAGTAAAACATTGACACGGACGACGGAGGACAATCACTCATATGATAAGCTCAGCTCGACAAAGTTGACAGCGGAGCTAATAAAAACAATCGGACTTGCGGTTTTCAACAAGAAGTCGAAAATATCACTTTTTACCAACACTGCATATTTCAATTAAAGAACAGAAGATATCATTAGAAAATGAACAATATGCATAGTATCAATGCAATGGGACTTGCTGTTTTCAACAAGGATTCAAAAATATCATTTTTCACCATAAATGATTGTGGTTTTTAACAAGTCGAAAATATCACTTTTACCAAAAATGACAAAAATATTCATCAAAATTAGATAATTAAAAATATCATTACAAAATGAACTAATCTGAGAGAGGTTCACATGTAGTACCTATATATGTAATATCAAAGCAATTTGACTTGCGGTCTTTAACAAGAAGTCGAAAATATCACTTTTTACCAAAAATGACAAAAATATTCACCAAAATTAGAGAATTGAAGATATCATGAAATGAACAAATCTAAGAGAGGTCTACCCAAGGTACATATACACCAAGTATCAAAGCATTCAGGCTTGTAGTTTTCAAGAAGAAGTTGAAAAAGTAAAACATTGACACGGACAACGACGGACAATCACTCATATGATAAGCTCAGCTCGACAAAGTCGACAGCGGAGCTAATTAGAGAATTGAAGATATCAACATGAAATGAACAAACCTAAGAGAGATCTACCTAAGGTACATATACACCAAGTATCAAAGCATTCAGGCTTGTAGTTTTCAAGAAGAAGTCGAAAAAGTAAATCAAAGAAAGCTTAGAAAGAACTCCTGTGTGCTGAGAGTATTGAAGACACATTAAAAATTAATTCAAAATTACTTGTACATGAGATATTGATGGAAAAGCTGAAAACTAATCATGTAAATCAGGTAACTAATATGAACAGAACAGAACAAAAAAATTATGAATTATTATGCTAATTAGAGAATTCATATGAACAAATTTTAACCCAAAATTAATCAGGCCTGTCTGTTGTCCTAGAGCATTTATGTACCAAATTTTATTCAAATGTGATGATCAGTAATTGAGGTATCAGTGTTAATTAATTATATTAATTAGGTGATTAATAAGCATAAATATTTACCAAAAACTAATTGGGTTTCTGCTTAGTTCTCTTTAAAAGTTTCATTAAAATCCAATTTGTGGTTCTTTATATATCAGTGGAACATTATGCAAATTAGGTAATTAATATCCAATTAAAACTAATCAGGTCTCTGCATAATCCTAGAAGA